GTTTCTTTTAACTTTTATGTCCTTCTTTAAAATCCTACAAATTAAACCAATGAGGATCAGAGGCGTACGTAAGCTGCCAGTGCACTTTGGAGGAAAGGGCGCTGCGTTGTCCAACCGTAAATATCTGTCCCTTGTGACTCCGTGCAACAATGCATCCTGCTGCACGAGGAAGAATTTGGAGGAAAACTTGGGGACTTCATTGTGTTCTAGATCCTGGCATTGTGGGAGACATGATGTTTGCTCTACCCACAGAACAAACTGATTGCAATGCTTTGGTTTGAGCTCTCAAGTCGATTTAAAAACGTGTTTCAGTATGAACTTGTAGCAGTAATCGGACTAAAAGTACAGAAAAATACCTTTTCATTAAGGCCTAGTGCACACGTAGCCGGGGGTTTTTAAAAACGAATATCCGCCCCTCCAAAAACTTGCATCCACACCACCTCGTTTAAAAAACTCTGTCCACACGTACCCGGATAAATACATTGTTAAGGACATGCCAGACCTGTAGGCGGCAGTACTTCCCCCGTTCTTAACCTCGTCCTTCGTCTGTGGTCTTCCGCAAGGAGCAGTAATTCCGCTTGCAAAAACAAACAAGCAAAAAGCGCTTGGACAATTGATAAAGCGAGCGCAGCTCTGAGGGCATCCATGCTGCCGGCTAGTGTAAACACAGGTCGCACACGTGATGTCAGCATTTTTTTGTCGCGGAAAGTGACGTTGCGGACCTTAAAACTCCGGTTTTGTCCGTCCACACGCAGACACCCAAAACGGAGAAAACACAGATCTTCACTTCGGCCGGAGATTTTAAAAAGATCCGTTTTCGTGTGAAAAAACTCCGTTTTCGTGTGGATGACAGGCCAAAACGTAGAAAAATGTCTACGTTTTGGCAGATCCCCGGCTACGTGTGGACAGGGCCTAAGAGTGATAATTATCCCAGTGCTGACAAAGAAAGCGGCTATAGTTCCGCTGGAACCAGACACCCAAATTTCAAGAGGAAACACACGTCGCTAAACACCAGTCCCCGTTTTCTAGATCTAAATGTCTTTTGTTGCCCGTGACTTCAAATAGTGTGTTTTTCTTTTTGGGACTCTAGTTGTTTGTCCTAAAGTTGAAGTGGTGGCAGGCGGCTGTTTCTCCTTCTTTGATATTATTGAGCAGAGACCCTCTCACACCAGTGGTGTTGCTGCTGCTAAATACGTGAGTGTTATGGGCTTGACACACGGGAGGCGACATCGCCTCTCCTCCACTCATTTTCAATGAGACATGCGCGACAAAGCGATAATCGCGGGTCTCCCTCCTACTAAGCGAAACGAGAAAAACGTGCGCGTGAAATTTTGCGCTCGTGCACGTGTCGTGCACAGGCGTCCCAGCGACGCGATCCCAGAAAGTTGAAACATTTTCAACTTTTCATCGCTGTCGCTCGGACGACGACCAATCAACGGAGGTTTCATTCACTGGCCAATGAGCGGACAGGATGCTCCGTACACCTCCGAGCAAACATGGAGGAGAAGTTGATTATTATTATGTTTTATAGTAGAATCAGAAGTAAGATTTCACATAACTCTAGCAGCACCTTGTGAAACATCATATCTACCGCTTTATTAACTCTGAACCGCTTAAATAACCTTAATTGCCTCCAACCTGACACAGCCAAGCAAAACAACGGACGTTTCGATTTCGCCATGGAACAGAACGCGTAGACGGTTTTGCCAATAGCCGCTGCCGTGGATCGCCTCCCGTGTGTCATGGGCTCGACACATGGGAGGCGACAAACAACCGCAATCAGCGAAATTCCCCCGGCCGGAGGAGCTGGGGAGAAGGTCTGGGACTCTCGACTCTACTACCCGCTCCGACGCCAGAAGCTGTCGGAGCGGACCGGCACAGCACCGGACCTGACCGGGGAACCCCTTGGGATTTACCCGGAGGAGCTGGCTCCGGCGGCTGGGGAGAGGGAAGTCACGCTACTGCCCCAGCAACCCGACTCCGGATACGCGGATGAAAATGGATGGATGGACGGACAAATAACAGATTTACATGTAAGTAGTCTCGGTGACACAGATAATAGCAATCCAAAGTGCTTTTTATGTGTGATCTGATCAACCATTGCTTAAAAATTAAATACGGCTTAGCCGGTTAATTGCTGTGATCATAAAACACGTAAACGGCAGCACGCAGAACTCACGAGGCAACGTTTTACGTGATGTTTACTTGTTGCTATGAGTAATAAGACAGAAAAAGCCACGCCAAAATAAGTTTAGGAAGCCCACTAAGAATCATAATAAAAGCATTTAAAATAAATACCATACACAGTTGAGGAAACGTTGGTTTAAGTACCTGATATGAAGCGGTCGCTGCATAAGCGAAAACCTTTACTCTCGGGATCCCACAGCTTCATTTTCGCCCGGTCACTAGAGTGTTTTATTACAATGATCCAACGTTTGCGGCGCTCCGGATCTTGGGGAATCCTGTAGATGTCTCATTCCTTATGTCGTCCGCGTCTGTTCTGCATCCTGGGGCACAACAGGAATCTACCATATTTCCCGTTTGATTGAGTTTTCTGACAATAACAAATAGTCCAGCTGCCGGCTTCTGCATGCCAATATGGCGCCGTTTCGATTTGAACTGTTGCATGCCGGGAGAAGTGACGTCAACTCCCGGAGCTCTATAGGGTTTATTACTCAAGTAAGGGTAAAAAAGTATCTGATTAGAAGGCTACTTGAGTACTGAGTATCATCTGATCTAATATTTTTAAAATGATGACATCAAACAGACATAAAATAAGAAGTTATGGGCAAATATTGGTATTTTAAAGACTAAAGGGAAAAAATGTAAACAAATAAACAACATAATTACAAAATAACACATTTTAGGCAAAATTTAGACACAAACTGAGGACAATATTTCCTGACGTACAGGGTTTATTTAATTGTGTGAAAATGAAGCACGTTTAAAAAAAATACCGCGATAATACCGAAAACCGTGATAATTTTGGTCACAATAACCGTGAGGTTAAATTTCACACCGTGACAACCCTGGTCACAAGTCGGACTTAGACCCTGCATGCGAACGTTGTAGACCTGCCACACTTCTTCACATGGACTTGCCCAAAACTACACGGGTACTGGTGGTCGATTTTTGATGCACTTTCCAAAATATTTGGGACCATGTCCGTTGGCTGCTTTGCTTGGAGCAATGGCAGTGGATGTCTTTTTGTATGGATGCTAGCTGAATGTGTTTGTTCTTTTTTGGCCAGAAGACTTATACTCTAAAAATGGAAGGATTCTCATCAATCAGTGTATGGTCGCTGGGTTAAGTAGACTAGTTATACTCATTTGGAGATCAGACTCTGCTCATGCTCGGCTAAGAAATAAAAAATATATATGGTTGCTGTTTATGCGTTTTTTGATAGTGTGCTTAATGTAGATTTTTGTAACTGTTTTTAATTTTTTTGTTGTTGTAAATGTACACTTATATTGTGATTTGTTGTCAAGCTGAATCCTAATTCATGTTTATACTGTCATTTGATCCGGTATAGCAAAGTGGGTGGTTTTGTTTTGTGTTGTGTGTTCTTTAAAAACTGTGTTCTAAAAATGAAAAAGGACCTTGTTCAAAAAAATGTTTTGCCACATTCCATTTTACATACATGCTTTTATTTTGTCATGCCGACCAGATGATGAGCACTTCCTTCCTTTCTGAGAGCTAACCTCCCATGCACAATGATCTTGTGGTGGTGTTTTAACGGAAAGTGCAAGTGAAACTGGCAGAATGATGGCAAAACACAACTGTACTGAATGAAGTGTGTCTCAAAAATACACATCTATTATTTTCAATATGACCCCACATGATCTGTGGCTTTGTCTCCAGCAATTTATTTGTTTTTTTATGCAAGGACTTCTTTGAAAAATTACATTTTTATGCACACTGACAAAATGTTTGGACATCCAGAAGCAGTCCTTGTCCCCTGTCTCTTTAAAACGTGAACTCTCTTGGTTTTATATATATATATATATATATATATATATATATATATATATATATATATATATATATATGCTCTCTGACCTCTGTCTCCTAAGGATTGTATATATATATATATATATATATATATATATATATATATATTGGGTTTGCAAGACATAGCCAACTATTCAGCAAAGAATATATTCTTAAAGCTATTCATTCAAAAACTACACATGAAAATGATTAAATGTACAAAGATCACATACACCAGGGCTATTCAAGTTCGGGCCTCGAGGGCCGCTATCCAGCATGTTTTAGTGGTTTCTCTGGTCCAACACACTAGATTCAGTGGTTGAGTCACCTGTGCAGCAGCTCATCAGGCTCAACAGAAGCCTGTTAATCACCTGCTGATTGAAATCAGGTGTTGAAGCAGGGTTACAACTAAAACATGCTGGATACCGGCCCTCGAGGCCCGGATTTGAACAGCTCTGACATACACTGTCTAGCGCACCCTACAGCGTGGTGCTTTCTGTGTTAGCTCAAGGCATTGATGCTCTTATTTTTCCAGGATTAATGCTGCTGCTTTTACCAGAGGTAACAGGATCTAACATGCTAGCTCTCCTCTGACAGCCTCTGCAGCAGTTTTTTTTATGATTTTCTTTTTTTTTGTTTGTTTCTCAGTCATAAGCAACTGGCAGCCACACAGATTCATCCCACCCAGTTCAGCAGATAAGGACCGGATGAAGCTTTTTATTCTTAGATTGAACTTGTCAGCACATTCTCATATATAAATCTAACGTGCTCACTCCTCTGACATGCACTGTCTAGAAAGGCATGCTGGGAGAGAGTGGAAACTCCCAAAGCATGAGCAAAATTACGATTGCCTGGCAACACTGCCGTGCAAAGCCTGATTGCTAAACATCATTTATTGCTGACGAACGAGTCGCGTGCGCTTGACTCTGGCTCTGATTAGTTTAAGCGTTTGTGTGAATGTAAGCAAACATCTAAATATTGACTTTGCACATTTCTAAGTGTAAACTTACCTGCATTGGTCAGACAGCAAACTGCAAGGAGTGTCCATGGGAAGTGGGATTTTTGAGCCATGTTACGATCATGCAGCTTCCAGTATGATGTAAGGGGGCGAAGTGGCCTTTTTAGTCTGGTTTCCACAAAATGTTTTCTTCCCTGTGAGTGGCTCTAAAGGAAGTCACCTTCAAGCTCCAGCTGCAAAATGAACAAAAATAAAAGACGTCAACCAGAAGAATGAGGTTAAATATGCGTATGGCCAAACAGCAGGGAGCTGAGTTTTGTTTAATATATACTGTGGCAGTAATGAGATGAGACAAGGTGAACAGCCCGTTTGCAGACCAAGGAATTAATTTGGAAGGCTAATTAGGGGTCATGCACACTTCAAAGTACCGTGATGCTAACACCTCCCCGAGTCGGCCGCAGGTCAGAGTATAGAAAGAGGGCAGAAGGGGGTGAAACAGTTTGGAACATTTAATATCTAACTCGACTCCCCAGCAGGGTCTTGAGTAAACAGCTTAGTGACACTAAGTCTGCATAAACCTTCAGTACTTTGTTATTTCAGTAACCTCCCCAACCTTAGAAGCAGAACAAGTAACCATTAAGGTTGGTTTATGCTTGATGCGTCCGCGAGGTTCGCACGACTCCGCGTGGAAAAATTGCGTCATTTTAACTAGGGCTGAAACGATTCATCGAGTACCTCGAATAATTCGAGTACAAAAAGTCCTCGAGTCAAATTCTCTGCCTCGAGACTTCGTTTAATTCGTGTTTAATTAATTCATGGCTTTGCAATCACCTGGGGTCATGTTTCACCCGGACCGAAATAAGTGACGCACATACACACTGCACTGAATGCACACGCGAGTAGCGAACGCAACTTAACTTTCTCTCTTAAGCCATGGCCGACAACGTGGACCCCGGTGGAGTGCGAAAAAGACACAAAATGTCAAAGGTGTGGGACCATTTTTCACGTCGTAAGGCGGAAAACGTAGTCCAGTATAAATACTGTAAAATGGATTTAGCCTACCACAACACCACATCCTCCAAGCTGCAGCACCTGACCAGGAAACATCCACATGTAAATGTCACTTATGCAAGCGGACTCGGAGCCTCTACAAGATAATGCATTTTAGCCTGTATTTCTATATATTCTGCAGACACTGTGCGACTTTTTCGTTTGTAGCACTCAGTTTCAGCTCACCCCGTACGTCTGGAAGCAACACGTCGGTCTTAAAATGTGCTAAAAATAGCAGTTTTTACAACACGTCAGACTTTTTATTGTGTTGTTATTGATGTCCGTTGTCCCTTGGGGTTTCTGCAGGAGGACACGGGTATTTATGAGTTGCGGAGGAAAACGAAATAAAGTAAATAAATGTGTGATCAGTGTAATTTGACATAACCACGGCAAACATGTTTTCTCGACAATCCTTGTTAGTGTGAGAAAAAAAAAGTGTAGAAATTAAAACGGACGTGTGTTGATAGGGAAATAGCTGGCGAACCATGTTTGCGCATGCGCCATGAGTGGTTCTGGTGCTGTTTGGGCCGCAGACGCTCGCATTTGTTTACTGTGAAGTAAAGTTGAAGTGCTGAAGTTTTGAAAACTAATTTTGAATAAAACTTGAAGAATAACTGGCAATTGCTTACTATTTTAAGAGGTCTTTCATATTTTATAACATGCTATTTGATATAATGGTTTACAAACGCAAAATGGTAATTTATGAGTACTCGATTAATCGATAAAATATTCGATAGAGTACTCGATTACAAAAATATCCGATATCTGCAGCCCTAATTTTAACAGCGCCCCTCCACCTGGCCTCCGCACGGCCCAAATTTTCTGCACCGCGCACCTAGGACATTTTCTAACCATGCGGACGGTCAAACACGGAAAAACATGGCGGACTGGCAAGAGGTAGTTATGGCAGAGTTCGTAAACACAGACATTTGTATGATTCAGCTCTCAGAGATCACCGTGATCAACATGTTGTTAATAAATCTTGGAGAGAAATAGCTCGCACTGTCGGAAAAGACGAGGATGCTGTTAAAAAATAATGGGAAAACATGAGGGACCGATATGTGAAGGCAAGGAAGGGGAGCAAAAGGAAAAGCGGTGATCCTGGTGGAAACAAGAACACTCCACCAACTCTAAAAGAGCTGAGTTGGCTCTCAACTTTCATTAGCAACTGTTATAAACAACAGTAATTTCTACTTCTACTATGGTGTAGTGTTGGACGCATGCCATAGAGCTCTATGCTGCCCCCTACAGTTTGGGAGAATATTGGCTCACTGCAGAGACAAGCCGCATGAACCATAAACGCTGCAAGTAACTACACTTGCTATATTTAAAAAATGTATAAAATCTAATGTATTTAGTAATTATGAAAAGGTGAATTATAATGTCAAAGATTAGACATGAAAATATTAGGAAGTGACTGAGGTTATATAGTGTTTGTTTGGCGGATAATTTTATTTCGTAAAAAGGGGCAGAAATCATAAGATTTTTTCTTCTATCTGCTCCTTTTCATTCAAATGTTTTTTTCCAATATGTTAATGTATGTTGTATTTGTTTGTGTTTATTTTATACATTGTGAATGAAATAAAAGATTTTAAAAAAAATTTAAAAAGTTGTGAAGCGCGTTCCATCCGCGAGCCGCATCACCAAGCGGAAAGTGAATGCGTCAAGCATAAACCAAGCTTTATACAGCATAGAATAAATCTAATGTGAAAACATGCAAAACAAAAAAGTAGCAAATTTTTGTTTTTCTTTGTAAACCTGAATAAATCAGGCCCTGTGAAATATGTTGTATTTCTTTCAAAATTCCATCAGATTTTTTCACTTTTTTCCTAAGTACGCGTGCTATGATTTTTACATTTTATATTGATTATAAAATGTTCAAATAATAAAAAGATCAAGATCTTAAAACTAATATTAATATTGCTGAATGAAAAGTAGCAAAGATTAAATGAATATTGACACATTTCAACAAAAGTAGTGAAAAGTGTTTCATACCAACAGGACATTTACCTTTACAGCTTTACTTATGACTTAGAAAAATAAATAAGCTTTTTATTGTTCTGCTGTAAGCACTGTGGCTGAGTCCCTCAGCTCACCCAAACATCAGCCTCTCATCTCTTCCTTCTCCCACCTGTTTCCTCCCGTCTCACACACGCAAGTTGTAAAGCGCCTTGGGGGGTTCTAGGACTCTAAAAGGCACTATGTCAAATACAGGCTATTTACCTTTTTTGTTTGTGTTTTTCAAAACCATGCACACAAACACACACTGTTGTTTTAACTGTGTAATTCTGTGCAGACTGTAGATGTGTTTGCTCCTCTGGGGATTTTTGTTATTTTCTTAATAAAAAATTTAAAAAAATAAGCAAGTCAGCTGATCTTAGAGTTGCTCCCTTAGAGTCCACCTGAGTCTCAGCAAAAGAATGATAAAGACAGAAACATATTAGAAACACACTACAGCTGCTAATTACTCTACTGGAGCAGTTCCTTAAAATGCCACCTGACATCTCCAGCAGCTGAGCAGAAACACCCAGAACCACCACCTGCATAAAGGATAAAGGATCTAATTTATTTGGTGTAAACAAGTTGTCTGTAAGGAGTTTTCCTGTTAAAGGTGTGTTTGCTGAGTTCTGTAGAGAAAACAAATGTTTGTACACACAAGATGTATGTCTCAAGCCACCTAAGGTGCTACTGACAGGTTTATTTACCTGTTTATTGGTATATGTAAAGTGGATCTCCAATGTGAGAGAAATAATAACCAATTTAAAAAAGTAAACCTAAAGATTTAGTTTTTGTGTTGAATGTGTTGATTGTGTTGTAATGCACCTGGGGGGGGGGGGGGGGGGTCTAGGACTCCAAAACCCCTTAAATTAGGCTTTCAATGAAACTTGATGACCAACGTCGGGCGTGGGGTGATGCAGTGCAGCAGTGTAGACGAGCGAGGGATCGTGTGACAAAAACAAGGACCACAAGCTATGGGTCTGCCTGGTATTCCTTCAGTCTGCTGGATAATCCCGGCACATCCTGGAACATGAGTGGTGCTCCAGCGTTCTTTGCTCATGATTTCCTCTTGTCAACAAGGGCATTAGCAGTAGCTCACTAGCGTTAGCCACTCTCAGACCTAGCGTTGGCAGCAAAGGCTAGTATTAATGATAAATGATAAATGACCCGCACTTGTATAGCGCCTCTCAGAGTAAGGACTCCAAAGTGCTTTACACTACTGTGTATCATTCATCCATTCACACACACATTCACACACTGGTGGGGATGAGCTACGATGTAGCCACAGCTGCTCTGGGGCGCACTGACAGGGGCGAGGCTGCCGAGCACAGGCGCCATCGGACCCTCCGAAGGTAAGGTGGGTTAAGTGTCTTGCCCAAGGACACAACACAACAGCAGAATTCTCTGTCCGGAGCCGGGATCGAACCTGCAACCTTCCGATTACTGGACAACCCGCTCAACCTGTTGAGCTACTGCTGCCCAATTAGCAGTAGCTCTGCCTAAAATTGTTGTGTGGTTAGCACTGCAGCAATCAGCGGCTGACACTGAAGTGGGTTGGAACATCCAAAAAGGTGTGGCTTGGTGATTACCTAACAAAAACACTGGAATTTACGGTTTTGTTGTATACTTGTAAAGATATTCTGTCACTATAACAATAAATACTGTTATAGTTTTAGACCTCTTTTAGCTACCCGTATTCTTGAATAATTATGAAAATACAGCTTCAGAGACGTTTTTGGGACCGAAAACCACGAGTTATTGTAAAACTGGTCATAGGCAGCATTGTTGCCAGTGTGGATAGCAACAGTACTAGCAACAGTACTGCCAGTAGGGTGCTGAAGTTTTTCAGGGGAATGCATAACTGTATGAACTACCTCATGTGGAAGACTCTGCTGCCTATAAACATGAAGCTTTTCTTATGTAGTTTTAAGTTTTAAAGAAATACAACCACAAACAGCAAAACATCATGTGGTCATAATGAGGACTATGTTTTTAGGTTGGTAGTCTAGAAATATGTGGTCCATAAAAAAGTCGTGCAAACTCTTGGTCTGAGTGATATCTGATCTCTTTAAAGCAGCAACGACTGTAACTGTAACACAAGACTAATGCAAACAGGAATCCAGTGTGTTCACAGTTTAAAGGCTGTGTCTTTGAAGAGACATAAGCCATGTTGAAAAGCCACATGTGCATCTACGTGAACCATACAGTGTGCATGGGAAATGATGCACGAAGTGCTGAGGTGCATCGCTCTGCAGTTCAAGCAGCGTTCACAAGACAAAAGGGCCCTTCAGTTTGCAGCAGCTGGAGGGGCTGGGAAGTTATTTCAGAGGATCTTGACAAATATTACACGTTCGGCTCATCAGGGAGAGCTAGTGCCCTCTGCTTGATTTATGCACCTTCTTGAAATTCACCTCTTGACCGACTACATAAAAAGTAAGCCCTTGAGCAATACCTTCAGAAAAGCAAAGACCAAATCAAAACAAAGTTATTTATATGTGAAAGACAGCTGATTTTTAAGGTTTTAAACTTAAAGTTATTCACTATGGAGCAATTTCTTTCTCTTTTTTTTGCTGCAAAAACACAAAATCACTCAACATGGCCTCTTTTCAATGTTGACCGTTTAACGGAGGAACTGTTTTGCCTTTAGAAAATCTGGAAAGTACATCAGAGCATGCAAACCCCCAGAAGAGGCGTTGATGAAACCAGGCTTCATACTTGTGGTGACTTCAGCATTAAATGCTTTGGCTCAGACATCAACATGAATGCATCCCTTGCAGTTTGGTGTTAAGAGACTGCACTAACTACGCTGCTGCTATCAGAAAGGGACACAGCCGAAGCCAAACAAGCTAAAGCTGCCTCCGTGCATCTTATTCTGGATGAGGTAAAAGCTCATAGCACAATTAGCTTTATTAGCTTTCTCTGTTTTTTCTGTTGAGTTTTAATTGGAAACTGTTATTGTGGTGATAAGGTTGATGGATGCAGCGAAAGAAGAAGCAGAAACACAAATGACAATATGTAAGTAGGCAGAAAATATGAGAGTGAAATCTTAATTTTAAAACATTTCCCGAAGTAAATCAAGCTTTTATTTGAGGGCTTATTTTATCAATTTCACATTTAAATCGCTTTCCTTCAGTGTGGAAAATGGAAATGTAATATTGTGACTGTCGTATCGTTAATCTGATAAATTAAGTAAAATTCTTTAGAAACCTTTAAAATGACCTGAATTGCATGCAGTAATAAAACAACATCACAGGCCATTCAATATCATGAAGCCAGTTTAATGGTACAGCTTAACAGGATTTTATAACTGAACTGCACACATTTGACTTTAAAATATGACAAACAAGCAATACTGGCATGTGTGAAATTATAATTGTAATAATATTAATAATTAATGTTATTACTATTACTACTACTACTACTACTATTACTACTACTACTACTACTACGAAGACGACGCCACATATGGCCAGTAGGTGGCATGACATTTTTTTCTGTTATGTAAAACTGAATATCAATCCAATTTCGTCCATGATTTGCAAATACTATCAACACACATGCACAATAAATAAATGCTGCTGCCCTATATACATGACATACGTTAAATGTAACTGTTGTTTTATTTTTTATTTATATTTAACTTCATAAATATGAGCCATGACCAGTCACAAGTGAGCAATGAGTTTGAGAATTAGCCTGCTGAGACTTTATGTGCATAAAACTTCCCTGGAAACACAAAATGAATAAATTGGTCTTTAATTCGGACAAAGTTGTTTCCTGAACTTAAAACCTAATCACTGACCAACCTTGGTTGTTCTGTTTACACCCGCTCTAAGCTCATTTTTTTCTGCAGCCATGATGCTGTCAGTCACATTTGACCGCATATCGGCAGCGTGGAGAAAGTACACACGTGCACGCGCGCACACACACATTTTTATCTCGTTTTCTATCCAAGGAACATACTTTGTATAATGCTGCCTTAGATTTCTCCTCGTCTCACAAATAAACACGCGTACAGCTTAAACGGAAATAAAACCGCGACAAAAGCAGCATGAAATCCTGATCCTGAAGGAAGAGACGCACGTCAACGGATTTGGCAGACGGATGTTTAGTTACATTTCTGAGTGGTTCGTCAGAGACATCAACACCGCCACGAATCACTGATTTTCCGATAAACTATCTATGAAATGCGAGTCAACTTAAAATTCCAGAGCTGTGGGAGAAGAGCGGACGTACCATGAAGCGTCTTCAAAATGCCCAAATAAACACCCCGCTCCGCTCCTGTCCGCTCCGGGTGATGCGAACACCAAAGTCCCTCGTCTCTAGTCACAACTTTATAGGAGGAAGACAACTCTAGTAGAAGTTGACGCCTCACTAAAGTAGAGATAAACAGCCCCCGCTATAAGTTTTTTTTTTTTTTTTTTTTTACTAGTTTAGGAATCTGCCCTCCTTGGTGCGGGGCTTCGTGGAGAGGCGGGGTTTAGAGGGAGGAGGCGCGCCGTGAGCTGCAGAGCAGAGGAGCGTCTCCAGAGCGGAGCGCACCACGGTCCCCGGCAGAGCCGTGTCCAGGACTTTTAAAATGGGGTGGCCCATGTGAGACACTTGTTTATTCATGGGTGGCACCAATGGTTATGCTTATTTATTTATTTATTTACACAAATCGTTTATTTATTTATTTATTTATTTATTTACTTTCTAGTGATTTTTTGAGTTTCACATTGCACAATCACCATTTTTATTCCTGTTCACCTTCTACTTTTGTGGTGGTTAGCAAGTCACTTCTTGTTGCATTACTGCCACCAACTGGAGTTGAGTTGGACTCTAAATACTATGTATGTGAATATGAAAAAAAAATTAAATAATATTAATACTACATGCCTGGGCTAGAAAACAAGGTGAAAGGTGCATGCACCCACACACTATTTTGGAGTTTACAACCCAAGCCTTTTGTTGACAATGTAAAGTCAATTTAAGCTGGAACTTAGTGGGGTGGCACCTGGGGTGGCCAATCAGATTCTAAGGGTGGCATGTGCTACCCCAGGCCACTCTCTGGACACGCCCCTGGTCCCCAGGATAGTCGGCCCCGGCCAGACACCTCAGACGACCTGTCATCAACATGTAATCCACATTTCACCAGACTGCATCACTCTACTGTCTCCGGCACGTTTTCAGTTTCGGAGAAAACCTCAAACACCCTGCAGGTTTAATGTAGGTCAGCCTTATATGAAGATAAACGCGTGTGGCTAACAGAAGATCTAATCTGACTAATCTTGAAACAAATGCGTCCAGTGTGTGTGAGGCACTGACTATAAAGCAATACTTGAAAAAGAGCGGCATGCATCCAAGTTTTGCTTCTCATTTACAACAATAGATTGTAAAGTGTTTACAGATACTCGCAAGACTGCATGGCTTCTGTAGAAATTCCATTTAACTATATCATCTTTATAAAAATAAACTGGGTTCAGTTTAACATTTTGATAAGAAATGTTGTCATAAATTGTTACATAAAATATAAAATATCTGCTTCACACAGTGAAGAGTCTTTCGCACAGGAGAACTTAGCTTTTGTAAACACTGGTAACACTTTACAGTAAGGATCCCTTAGTGCATTATTAAGCATTAATAAACAAAGGTCCCTTTATTAACGTTATCATTATTGTCATCTATTAAGTATCCTTAAAGTTAGGACAAAGAGTGAGGGGTGTCTGTGCATTATGTAATATGGTTAAGCAGTTATTACTTCATTTAATGGTTTATAATGCTCAATAATGCACTAAGTAACACCAATAAAGGGGATCCATATTGTAAATTGTTACCAACACTGTTGCTTTTCTGTGATTAGTGGTATTGTGTTCAACTTTGTACTCTCAATAGTTACAAATGAGCCATATGTTGGAGTCCTGAACACATTTCTTACTATCGTAGCTGGAGCATGACTGCAGCAGAATGGCTGACCATGTTGGCTCCGATAAAGAAAGAAGTATTTTGTGAAAGATGCAACATGATCAAAGGCTAGATCTAAAAGATGATCCACACGTTCCAACAATTTATCAACCTGATACCGGCTGAGCTGCAGTGTCAGCTCACTTGACCACAATCCCTCCTGGATTACTAGCCAGCAAGCAACTGCAGGGTGATTCCGACCAAGATCAATCAAATGCACCTGTGTTCTTCATCCATAACAGATGCCTGCCCATACCATAACCCCACCACCACCATGGGCCACTCGATCCACAACACTGGCATCGGCAAAGCGCTCACCCACACGACGCCACACACTCTGTCTGCTATCTGCCCTAAATCGAGATTCATCCGTGAAGAGAACACCTCTCCAATGTGCCAGATGCCATCGAATGTGAGTATTTACCCACTCAAGTATGTTACGGCGACGAGCTGGAGTCAGGTCAAGACCCCGATGAGGACGACAAGTGTGCAGTTGAGCTTTCCTGAGACGGTTTCTGACAGTTTGTGCAGAAATTGTTTGGTTATGCAAACCAGTTGTTTCAGCAGCTGTCTGAGTGGCTGGTCTCAGACGATCTTGGAGGTAAACCTGCTGGATGTGGAGGTCCTGGGCTGGTGTGGTTACACGTCGTCTGCAGTTGTGAGGCCGGTTGGATGTACTGCCATATTCTCTGAAACGCCTTTGGAGACGGGTTATGGTGGAGAAATGAACATTCAATGCACGAGCAACAGATTTGGTTGACATTCCTGCTGTCAGCATGCCAATTGCACACTCCCTCAATGATTATGGCATCTGTGGCATTTTACTGTGAGACAAAACTGCACATTCCAGGGTGGCCTTTTATTGTGGGCAGTATAAGGTACACTTGTGCACTACTCATGAAGTTGGATCAGCATCTTGATGTGGCATACCAGTGAGGTGGGATGGTTTATCTCAGCAAAGCAGAAGTGCTCACTATCACACATTTAGACTGATTTGTGAACAATGTTTGAGAGAAATGGTAATATTGTGTATCTGGAATGAATTTTAGAATAGAATAGAATAGAATAGAATAGAATAGAATAGAATAGAATAGAATAGAATAGAATAGAATAGAATAGAATGCCTTTATTGTCACTATACAGGTGTAAAGTGAGATACAGAGCATCTCCTACTCAGTGTAAAACAAACTTACTGGGGGGGTGCAGGTCTGCAGCGCTATGTATATATGGAAAGTAAGTGTTATATACAAATTCTTGCACAGTATTGTTACAGGTCTGCAGCGCTAAGTACAGATCTTTAAGATCTTAAAGTCCTTCTCATGAAAAATCGGAGCAGAAACAAAGGTTTTGCATTTATATTTTTGTTGAGTGTACATATATTTTTGCACTGATTTTTAACTGCCAACAGCATTGAAACTCACGGCACGGTGGTGAGGAAGTCACCTTTTGTTTATAAAAGTGGACTGCAGTACCCAAATTTGACCAGAGGATGTCATTGTCCCTTCAGTCTTACTTATTGCACATCTAATGATTTATTTTCAATCAACAAAAAGCAGTGAATGAACAAAAGAGAAATTTAAAAGAAGTTAATATTTGGTGTGACCACTCTTTGCCTTCAAAACAGCATCAATCTTAACTACACTTGCACACAGTTGTTGAAGGAACTGAGCTGGTAGGTTGTTCTAAACAATAACTAACCACAGATCTTCTGTGGGTGTAGGCTTCCTCACGTCCCTCTGTCTCTTCATGTAATCCCAGACACACTCCATGAGGATTAGATCAGGGCTTTGAGGTGGCCAGTCCATCACTTTCAGGACTTCTTGTTCTTTTTTATGCTAAAGCTAGTTCTTAAAAGTGTGGTTGACTGAAAAAAAAAGTTTTGTTTTTCTAAATACAATTAGTCACTGAGTTTTTAATGCAGGCTGAACATGAAAATAGTCTCCTACACCCATCTCCTACATTAGCTTCTGAAAGCAAAACAACGGTGAAACTAAGATTTGAAAATCCTCACAAATCTATGTCACATTGTGAATTAGCGTTCATGGACTCACCCATTTTGACTCACAGTGGGGAAGGGTGTTTGAACATATTTTGTACGTTCATTCTGCGTACCCCTTCCATTGCTTTATAACATTGTTTTTTAAACAAGAGGAAGGCTGTTGTTTTAAGGTCCGTGAACAGCAGCTTCTTAGCTACTAACCGTTATCACGACGGTGCGCACAGGAGTTAAGTGCTCGCCCCGTAATCGGAAGGTTGCAGGTTCGAGCCCCGCTCAGTCTGTCGCTGTCGTTGTGTCCTTGGGCAAGACACTTAACCCACGTTGCCTGCTGGTGGTGGTCGGAGGGACCGGTGGCGCCAGTGCTCGGCAGCCTCGCCTCTGTCAGTGCGTCCCAGGGCAGCTGTGGCTACATTGTAGCTCATCCCACCAGTGTGTGAATGTGTGTGTGAATGGGTGAATGACTGGTTGTGTTGTAAAGCGCCTTGGGGGGTTCCAGGACTCTAGAAGGCGCTATATCAAATACAGGCCATTTACCATTTACCATTAGCAACTCCACCACACAGCAGAAGCTCCAAAACCTGTCATCTGAAGCTCAGCTTCATTAACCGAGTCAACCAACCACTTCTTTAACCCTTTGATGCATAAAGATCACTACAGTGGACAGGTACTCAAAATAGTTTATTTATATTAATTTTTTTTTTTTTTTTTTGCTATTCATCACAGCTGTTGAAGACTTTATTGCATTTGAGCCCCTTCATTTGGACTTCAGTAAGTCAAGCCAACATGTTTCATGTTCAGAATGCACGCTGTCCACTGAGGTGGACATGTAATAAATGATTTGTAAATTATTAAATGTTACAAAAAATATTTGTTGAAATTTGTTTCATTCCCACCTAAAGATGAATTTAAAAAAAAAAGTTTAATAAATCATAGTTGAAGAGTTCATAATTCATGCATTAAAGGGTTAATGACTTCGGCTGTAAGTCTGGGGTAACTCATTTTATGTTTTGTAGTTTGATAAACAATCGTTATTAATATTTCAGAAAGCATTCTTTTACAGCATTTTCAAACACACACACACACACACACACCAATAAGTTCAAATGTAATCAACTCAAAAAAACCAAAGATAACAAATTGTCATGAGGTGGAATTGGCAGTTAGAATGGCACGGCAGGAAGACAAGACAGGGATCGGACACAGGCCAGCACGAACAGAGGGTTTAAATCAAGGGCGATGTTGGTCTGCATTTTTGAAGCCAAGAAGTGGCTAAAATTGCAGTTCCACCAGAAGGCACCGGAAGTGAGCAAATCCTCATTCGGGGCAGTCCCACTGGACTGGCAGACCGGGGTGGCGGTCCCCTTATTCAAAAAGGGGGGCAGCAGGGTGTGTTCCAACTGCAGGGGGATCACACTCCAGAGCCTTCCTGGTAAGGTCTATTCAGGGGTTCTGGAGAGAGGGTCCGTCGGATTGTTGAACCTCAGATTCAGGAG